AGATGCGAGCGTGCGTAGGTGTACACGTGCGTCTTTAAAGCATTGTAGGTATGGAACATCGCTTGACGCTTTCTGACGTGATGCATTCAGAAGCCTATTGCGAAATTCTATTGTACTGATAACATAGTTGGAACGTTCGTGAATTCGAGGGTGCGAAATAGTATATGAAATTGAGAGGGTTTTGTCTAACCGTATTTATGACATTTCGTAAATATAGTTTGATCGATGTGTTAACAGTGATTGAAAGATGAAGTAATCAGTTGTTTGAATGAAATGATTATTTCAATTTGTGATTCACAAGGGAAGGTCACGAACTTACCCAAACATTTCGGGATGAGATGTATATCATATTGTAGGGTTCGTATAGGTGATTATGAACGTGCAATAATTTTTTTGCGGCGGATAAAGGAGACGCGAGATATGACCGGAAAAGGATTTTCGGTGCATTGAAGTGAGATTCTGAATTAGTGCCAGGCAACGGGGGCTTGGCCTAGTGGGTAGTGCGAGAGTACAAAGCCCGGGTGCCCGTTGGTCCAGTCTCGCGCCGTGCCGAAAGTTTTTTTTCTCGCATATCTGCAACATATTCAAGCAGTCGTAATATTCTGCAACTTCACTCCCCACAAGTTTTTCAAGTTGTGAAGATATTTCTCATTTTTATTTTTTATTTTTTTTAAAGTTTGAGTTGTTTTGTTTTTTATATCTTACCTAATGAGCATGTCTTTTCATATCTGATCAGCAACAAAATATGTATCCATTCTTATGTAATTATTCGCGATGTCAGTGTTCTGACCTATCGACGTGAAAATATTCTATGCATTCCTGAAGTACCTTTTAATCAATTTTACAATCCGAAGTTACGAGAATTCAACAAGTACTCTTGGTATGCATGTGGGTACACTGAACAAAATCCACGACAATTTGAAATTCCGGTCCGAGTGTGCTTTCCACAGCACGTGGTTCAAGAATGTGATGTAATTAATTGTGATATTTCATCATTTGTGAAATGTTTTTACTATAATCTATATTTACGTTTCAATCGTTTTGTTGTGAACAGACATGCTCGAGAAATGATCACCGATATTATTGCATTGAAGTGATCAGATAAATGAACAAAATAAGGTGTTAAGCGATTCAGTTCATCTTAACGAGAGCATTAGTATAGTTATGAAGTATTTTTTATGCACTTTCGCATATCCTTCATCCCAGAGCATCGTGCAATTAAGCGTACTGATAACTTCAAGGTGAAGCTAATTTGGAAACAATCGCAATGGTTCAGTTGTGCTCATTCATGAAGAAATTGATCAATTGTTATATTTTGATGACATTAAGTAAAGCTTGGAATTGATAATTGACGATTTGATGTATTATGTCGTTGATTACTCTTGCCACTGGCAGATCACAATTATCTTCAGTGATTTTGTATCGAGCAGCTTGTCCAATATATTTTTACTTAATGCTTTTTAGGTGATACAGATAATAATATGAACCCAGTAATGTTTTAATTGAACTCAGGTATCTCCGCCTTTTCTGCTTTCAAAATTTGGATTTTTCGCGTCGCGTCGGTTTTTATCCTGTACAATGGTGTGTTTTCGGATTTGTTAACGTGTATTTGATTTTTGACTTTTCTGAAACTAAAGAGTCTGAAGAAGCCGACGGCGGGGATAAACAATCATGATACAGTGCAAACCTGAGGGTACGTTAGTTTGAGTATAATGATCCTGATATTACTACAATCTTGTACATATTGAACAATACAAATGCAGTGGATCGGAATGAGCGGCTCAGATGCATGAAATGACATCAGAAGATCATCAATACTTCTTGGAATCAGCAAAATCACTGGACAACACATATATTTTTCTGAAACAAGATAACCTGGGAAATTCGACGATGTGAAGAAATCGTAAGAATTCTGGCAAAATCTGAGGACAGCATTAGTTTGAAGATGGTGACCCGATTAATGATAATGTAATGCACAGATTGATCAATGTAGATACAGTGTATGAGTGATGTCGAGCGAGTGAGATACTTAGAAAATTAGGTATTTCTCTGAATGTGTGCAAAATCGCGCGCCAAGATGCATATTTTTTCTGAAACCGAAGATTCTAAGGAATCCGACGGTGTGAAGAATTTACTACATTTGTGGGCAGACCTGAGGACTGCGCTGGTTTAAAGATGATTACCCTGTTACTGATAATGTAATGTATAGATTGATCACTGTAGGTTCAATGTATTGAAATAAGCGCTGCCCAGCAATTGAGATACTTTCAGGAAATTGTCTGATCCTCTGAACATAAGCAAAATCGTCTGACAACATACATACTTTTCTGAAACCAGCGAATATTTGTGACATGGTGATAACAGAGAGGACTAAATCCGCAATGACTTATAATTTCGGATTAAATGAATAGATAAAACATTTCAAATTGTCTTCTTTGATTTGAGTTTATCAAGAGCGATTGTAATAAGGATCTTTCGTAACTGATCACTATCATGTTTCTGATGAGGATGCCAAATCTCACTTGTATATGTTGCCGAACGATTTCGTTCACTATAAGTAATATTAACGATTTTCTGAAGCCATCTCACGCAGCTAAGAGGCTCATTCCAATACATTGTGTCTGTATTGATCAACTTACACAAGAAGGTAGTAATATCAGGATCACCATATTTAAGCTGATGGTAAATGCTTTCCAGCACTAATTCATTTCTGTTGATATTAGTATGCATGTAACTTTTACTGCACAATAAGTCAATACTCTTCACTTTTGAGCATAAATTAACAATTCACCTATTCTTCATCATAGTTGAATTGATTATATTCGTACTATGAATCCAAACTATACCCATTTTTCACTTATTGTTAACGCTTATCATTGGTTTATTTCTCGTTTCATGGATCACAATTAGCTGCAAGCATGCTTATTTACTCAAGTTGAATTAATTTCAGTTGAAATACTTCTCCTTGTTCGAGAAAACAGTTTTTAATGTGTGGAGAGAGCTGTTGGCACAACGTCTTCACGCATGCGATAGCTGAGGCGTGTTCTGTGTGTGCTACACCACACCCCGTTTTTCGTTGACGTACGCTGCAGGATTATTACTTTTTCCCATTAACTTCTCAATTATTTGTTCGTGTCGTTTGTTTCGTAACATCTACATTAAAATACTCGCGTATTTAATACCCATTTCAGTTTTTTAGCACTGAACAGCTATCGTCTGAATGCTAACAGTGATGTCGCAATTAGAAGAATTGATGTCAGAATGTAAGGCCAGACAGCAAACACTTCTGTTTTGTGGTTATCTTCAATATGGAATTCTTTTTTACTGTGATCAGTCAATCCGTTTAACTACCAATTACACAACAGATATCGACGCAAATACACATTACAAGCATGACATTGTAAGTTTGTTAAGTTCTTGTAGTAGTTCTGTTTTATGTTTCGATAAACAAGAAAAATTTATGCGAGAAATCTGGTTCAGTATAGAGGCAGATGATTGAGACTGAAGTGCTCAGTTGAGATCTACCGTTGCATTCATGCTGATCCGTAGTGCATATGAAAGAAAGGGTAAAGGCGGAAAATTAACGTTTGTTTATTTGCAGTTACTAAAAATGCGTCCACGACTTCCAACTGGTGTCGATATTCAGTGGATTGGAGCAAATGAAAGTGGTAGTCATGTGGCACTGATAGGCTCAAAAAGTGCATTTATTGTTGAAATACCGAATGATATATGGGCGGTGAACGTGAGACTGTGGAATGAACGCATACAATCTACCTATTACTGCCGGTTTATCATTGCTTTGCTTGTAAACTTTTAGGTTCACTATTCGATTAGAGATAATGTTAAATTCATCTGGTTATTTGTTCCAAGTGTTGTGGGCATGAATCATCCAAGTAAAATGTTCAAATTATAGATGCACCACAATTGGCAGTGGTATGCAAGTTGGTTCGCATCGCACAACAATTCTAAAAGCAAGGTGGTATATCAAAGAAGCAGACGAAAAAGGCGAAAGTGTATGTGATCGAATTGCTTTACTGTACTCCGATTCTGTTATTAGGTATTTTGTTGTTATGATCGTTTCAATTAGGAACACGTTTCGTAAATAAATGTCAAAAGTAGCGAAGAATCGCCCATAGTTGTGTGATCGAAATTTTTATTTTACTGAAATTAACTTTCTTTTATCAATAGATTTGCGAGTTTTAAACAATTCTGGACGATAATTGTTTCTCTTTGATCATGATTTTTGAAATTTCCCGCAACTTGCCAATGTAGTAAGCAGTTAACTGATTGCGGACTACCAATAAATATAGGCATTTTTGTTTGAAGATATATTTCAGTTGATGAGATCTTTTACAGAGTTTTTGATGCGTCCGAGCCCACTGAAGTTCCGATTGCTAGACTTGATTTTCGTCCGATACTTTCATCGTCATCATCTTTGGATTTGTCAACCATCTCATCGAGAGATCAATCTCAGTATAATGGATTAGGTTTATACAATTCGATTGGTAAGTAAGATTCATTCAACATATTTACTTTGATTGACTCTTGATTCAGTTTTAGATGTATAAAAATTTAATGGTTTGATGACTACGAGTTAGTTTTTGCCTTTTTTGATTTTAGTTTCGTTTGATTTCGGGCCGAGCTTGAAATATAACAATTGGAATAGTGATGATAATGATGACAAAACAAGTGGAGCCAGTCGACGTGTGGCAACGATCTTTGCAGTCGATAACGAGCACGGTGCACTTTATGTTGCACCTTTTCACTTCGAAAGTCCATCGTATGTTTTTTAATTGATTATTGACCATTCTGTTCTAATGGATATGAGGTGAATGTTGTCATAACACGATTGTTTACTGTTGTCTTCTTTGCTAATCGATTGTTCACATCTCATTTGCCTTCATTTTCCATCTTTTTTCCTTCAGCAGCTCGCAGCCACTTGGGCCGTTCCATATCGAACCAGAAGCACAACAAAGATATCTATCGGATGTATGCGATATCATTCATGTAAGACATACGTCAAGTGCCGAAATTCCGTTATTCGCTCTCGTCACAAGCAGTGGCGTCATTCTACACATCGTACCGATTCCTTCGAGCAGTGTATGTGCCAACTTGTTGTTGACTTTCTTCGTATAATGCACAAGCGCGCAAACGATTGCACACCTTCAATAGTGCACAGTTACGTGCAGTTTAGTGATGTGATGTGCATGGTGATGCCATCATTGTAATATCTGTTTCAGACATTCGATAATAGCGAAATTATTAAGTACGAAATGTTAGCCGTGGATGCATTCTCCCTTCTATCGAATCATTCAAGTTTCAATGATGAATTCTTGCTTTTGAATGGTGAGTCGTTCTGGATCGTTTGAATCACACATTTATCTGTATTCTCGAATTTAAAATTGCCGTACCAGCCCGAATTTGTTTATATTCCTACTTCAGTGTCTTTCCGTAACTTCTGATTTTTAATTTTATCACCAATTTATTGTTGAAGGAAAATTGATCGAGAAGATAAGCTCCTTTTCGTTAGTCGTTTACATGTTATTTATCATGTTATGTTATTTTAGATCCGGTGAAATTGGGGTATTATTTGGTTTATGGAAGAGGTAGCGTTTTTCGAATCAATGTAACATCATCAGTAAGCAATATATTCAACATGTTGACAAGGTGCGTTGCGGTTTGTTTCATATGATCAGAGCGATGTCTTTTTTGTGCAACTTCAAATGATTCACTTAAAACTAAATCTTTCTTATCCTGTTCAATTTGAGACTGAATTTTGCTTACGACTATTTGAAAATATTGGTTTTCACATGGTTTTTTTCTTTTTTGTTTCAGAAGGAAAGAATGATCATTTTTGATTGATTAACTAGATTGTTTTTCTTAGTGAACCTTTTGATGAAAATTCAATGAGGAATCGATGCGACGAGAATGTCACCGAATCGGGTTTCGTCGAGCATATATTTTGGATTGTTGGTGATGATGCAAGGGAAACGTCCTCAAAACAGCGGTCAGCTGTCACCGCGAAACGTATCCGGTGTGTGTGCTCGACATCAGTTATGGGAATTGATGGTGTAAAGGGAGTAAATGGTGAAAGCTCTGATGATGATGACGCAGATTGTTGCTATTCCGAACTAAATTCCGATTTTAAACGTACATCCACAGTCACATCATTGAAAGCCAATCGAATTCTTTTCTTGACACTAGTGGGTGATACAAGTCCTCAGCTACTCACTAGATGTGTTGTGTAAGTGGTTACTTTTAACGTTTTCCTTGGTTTTTTCGTTTGTTTAAATATATTGTTTTTTTGGAGTGGGAGGTCTGTTTATCTGTCGTCTGTTCGTTTTTATTCGATTTTGGGTTCCCGCTGATTTCGTTGATCGAGAAGATAAACAAGAAGAATTTCACTTCTGATTCAATCTTCTCATGACATAGTTTGATGGATTAATTGGTTGATTACAGAATGAATAATTTGCGTCGTAACGAGATGCAGAATGATACTTCCATAGCAACAAAACATCAGCAGCTGGGGCAGCAAAAATCAGAAATTTTAAATGCTGTTGTCTCGCCATCATTGAGTGACGAATGCGCAGAAGTTTTGAAAAATCGAATACCGATCCCGAAAATCATGTAATTTCTTTTAAATTGCAAATTGTATTTAATCTGATGTCACTTGTGGTATAAGATAGATTCAAAAATAGGTTAAGGATTAATTGAGTAGTTGAAATGAAATGCAAATTCAGACTGAACGGTTCACTGAAAGAAAGTGATATGATCAGAACGACTGATGCCGTGTTGAATGCGTTGCTGCAAAATATTTCAACTGTAACTGATGTATGCACACTTGTCTCGTCAAGGTATTTCTTTCTTCAGTGTTTCTGTGATTGACTAACGCAATCTTTCAACTGTGATTTTTATGAAAGAGGATGGAGCGATACGATTAGTATTTTTGACTTACTGTGTATAATTGATGCGAAAGTATGTACCTGTTATGGAAACTGAGGAACAAATCAAAAAATGATCAGCTGTGTATATCAAAAGTTGTATAAATCAACGAGTAAATCAATTGCCTTGATTATATCAAACTGCGTTCGTTAAAACACCTAGATAGATTAATATTCTTTTCTGTCTAGTATTTAATCATCAAATATATCAGAACAGTAATCTCTGTATGTTGTTGCGAATAGCTCAAATGATATGTACATTTTTGTTTACTTTAGTGTTTTTGATCTCGTTTTACAAACAAGCCCCGTCTCATTCTTCAAGCATCTCAGTTTTGAGATTGTCTTAGTGATAATTAGGTAGACAATCGACGTGTGATGATAAAAT